ATGGCCTTCTTAACATTAACGCCTTAATTTTCTGGATTTAAAAAAATGCTTTTATCCCAATCACCTTGGCAACAAGGTGAGAGCCGAGGTGGCGCAGTGGGTAGAGTGCAGTACTGCAGGCCACTTCAGCGGTTCAAATCTCACTGGCTCAGGGTTGACTCAGCCTTCCATCCTTCCGAGGTGGGTAAAATGAGGACCCAGATTGTGGGGGCGATATGCTGACTCTGTAAACCGCTTAGAGAGGGCTGAAAGCCCTATGAAGCGGTATATAAGTCTAACTGCTACTGCTATTGCCACTTCTGGCACGCATGCCATAGATTCACCATCACGGGCATAATTTATAGCTTGAAACATTGTGTGCAAGAGAACACGATGGTGTGCCAAACAACAAGCCACTGTTCAGTGTGATATGAAACAGAGGGCTGAAGAGGCAACAGAGGAGGTTAAACAAAACAAAGTGGAGCACTTAAAGACAATCAAAAATCAGGATGTTTTCAAAAAAAAAAAAGAAATATTATCATCACCATCATTGCAAATGCAGCATTTCAGGACATTAGAGAGCCATAAGACGGGTCAATCTAAGATTCCCTCTTCTTTGTATTTTCCCAATCTATGAAAAATGCAGCCATAGTTTATGTCCCTGATTATCTTTTTGTACTTTCTCTGGATCTTCTCTGGGTCTGACTTTTTTCAGAACCATGAAAAGAAGGGAAGCCAGAACAGTCTAAGCAACCTGAAGTCTCTGTGCCTCTTGTTTAAAATGTGTGCAGGGCCTTGTAAGTCTCACTCTGAGAACTGGCTAGGGACAGGACTGGAGCAGACAGCTGCATAGCTAATTTTAGCTTCATTGAAGAGAGCCAGGTTAGATTTAAGTCTTGGTGGTGAAAGTGGGGAGGGAGGAAGCACTGAATTCATAGGAAAAGAAACACAGTTTCTATCTGGCTTTTGAGCAGTGATCCCCAACCTTTAAGATATGTGGATTCCAACAGCATAGCTGGGGAATTCTGGGAGTTGGAAATCCACATATCTCAATGTTGCCAAGGTCGCTGTCCTTGAGGCTTTCCAAGTAGTTGCAAATGCAAGATAGACTTCCTGGGTAGCAGTTGGGATCTGAGATCTCAACATCTTCATCCATACTAGATACTGTAGCTAGCTGAACTGGATTTTGTCCATGTTACATTCTCTTAACCTTTTTCAGTTTGGGGGAAAGGGACAATCAGAAAGGTTTTTACAGCTTAACTTTTTACCTCCTCTCACCTCTCTCCTCATCAAGGGTCTCTTCAACTCTGGAACCACCCATTTGTTGCTCAAAAACTTACTCAACAGGGGGAAAAAAACACAATGGTTTCAACTACATCTCCTGTAATTCAGATATGAAGTGTATGCTGGTTTATGGACCTAATAAAGGTTTCATTTGATTTGTGGTTAAGATTAAGTAATACTATAAAGGTAAAGGTTCCCCTTGCACATATGTGCTAGTCGTTCCCCACTCTAGGGGGTGGTGCTCATCGCCGTTTCAAAGCCAAAGAGCCAGCGCTGTTCGAATGACCATCTCCATGGTCATGTGGCTGCATGACTAAATGCCGAAGTCACATAGAACACTGTTACCTTCCCACCAAAGGTGGTTCCTATTTTTTCTACTTGCATTTTTACATGCTTTCAAACTGCTAGGTTGGCAGAAGCTGGGAGAAGTAATGGGAGCTCACTCCATTATATGTGCGCTAGGGATTCGAACCACCGAACTGCTGACCTTGCTGATCAATAACCTCAGTGTCTTAGCCACTGAGCCACTGTGTCCCTTAGTAATACTATGGACATACACTTATTCTATTGATTATCAGCATCAGGTATGTTCCCCTTTTCTATCTTAAAGCTGGGGAGATCATTTCTTCTGTTCCAACACTGTCTTGGGTAAACATTCCAGCAACTCAGCAGCCCCAATTTGTTTGTCACCCTCTCTGTCTTAAAAAAACACACACAACAACCTTGTTGCTTTTTATAATTCAGTTTCTAATTTAGCTATCCCGATTTTACAAGTGTTCTGGTGCGGTTCTTGGCAATTATGCCAAAATGAGATTCAGAAGAGATATTTAAATAGATACTTAGAGTATTTACATATAGCATTTAAATATATATTTATATAAAGAGACTTTTAAAAAAATCACAAATGAATGCAGAAACAGAATTGAATTTATAGGCTAAAAGCAATTCATATCTATTTTTCCATCCAGCAAAAAGGAGAAGCAAAATTAGGAAAAATTCACAAGGCAACATCCATTCATTTCAACAGTTATGTTACCCTCAAAAGTCCAGTATTTTGTATCGTATCATTTAAAGGAAAGTTTGCAGCCAAGGGGTAGAGTTTATGCTTTGCATGCAGAAAATCACAGATTCAATTCCTAGCACCTACAGGTATATAAGATGGCATGAGAATTACCCTGCACAAACATCCAAAAGGCTATCTATCCAGCAACTTGTAACTCACAGCCACCAAGCAAATCTGGGACACTCATAAGCACAGACCAACACATAATGCTCTTCCTATCAACTGTATAAGATGGTATTTAAATTATGATGTTCAGGATTCAAGAGAAAGAATAGAGCATCAAGAGCCACAATAGTCTTCCTTTTCTCTTGCATCCATTTAGAGCTTCATGGTTTGGCTTAATTTTAGATTGAGATTAGAAATGAAAATATCATATTTATCCATCTTACTCCAATCATAGGCAAGCATAGTGCTTTCTTCTCAATCTGATATGTCTAAAGGTGGTGCTTTTTATGAGTTTCTCAACTTACCTTGTTGTGATGGTGTGCTTCTTGGTATATGGTGTGATAACTTGGAAGAGCAGTTCCATTGCTCCATTAATGCCCAACATAGTTCCTACTGCAACTGCAATGAATGACAGAGAGGGGGGAAAATAGACTCAGAACATGGAATTTGGGAAATGATTTTTGGAGGCATGATAGAAAGAGATTGTCTGCAATTGCCTTCAAGTTTTTTTTTTATTCTCTTCAAAATCTTCTCCAACAAGTCCCGTGACTTTATCACAAATGTAAAAAGCAACTTTATTAGCTTAACATGCCTATTCATCTTATCCTTTGCTCCATCCCACAAACCATGAATGTTCAAGTTGTACTTTAGTTTTCAGAGATGGCAGAAATACTGTCAAGCAGGAAATCTAGGTGAGGCCCGATATGAACAAAGAGGCAGAGTTCAATTCTCTCTGAATCACATGTTTATTCAGAGCTAGATAAAGGTGAGATATTCCATAAAGTGGAAGGACCCTAAACAATTTATTCAGCATGATTTTATCCTGTGTTGGTTACACAGGCTGGAAAAAAAATATTTGCATCAAAGTAGATAAAAAAACAAAAGTTACTATAATGTCATTCCTTGCATTTAGAAGCATATTTAGAAAGAAACAAATTTAGCAAACCCATTGCCCCTATTTGTACTTCCCTATTACCATGTTTCCCTGAAAATAAGACAGGGTCTTATTTTCTTTGGACCCCCAAAATAAGCACTTGGCCTTATTTTCGGGAAGGTCTTATTATTTTTGAGGTGTTGGAGGCGGCGAGCATGGTCACTTCATGGCTGCTGATTTGTTGCAATATTTTCAGGGAGGGATTATTTTCAGGGGAGGGATTATTTTAGCGCATGCGTTCAAAAGCCCGATTGGGCTTATTATCTGGGGAGGTCTTATTTTTGGGAAAACAGGGCAGCTTCTCCTGAGATATGGACAGTTAATATTATAGACAATCCTCGATTTACAACAGATCATTTAATGATTGTTTAGTTGCAACATCACTGAAAAAAGTGACTTATGACCATTTTTCACATTTATGACCATTGCAGCAACATGATCAAAATTCAGACAGTTGGCAACTGACTCATTTTCATGATGGTTGCAATGTCCCAGGATTATGTCATCTCCTTTTGGGACCTTCTGACAAGCAAAGACAATAGGGCCAACCAAATTCAATTAACAGCCATGTTGCTAGCTTAACACTTGTGGTGATTCACTTAACAACTGGGCAAGAAAGGTCATAAAATTTGAAAGGTTCACTTAACAAATGTCTTGCTTAGCAACATAAATTTTGGGCTTATTGTGGACTACTTGCATTACAATTCATTTATTCTCTTTAATTCAGCCATTTCAATGCAACAATCTTGAACATTATACTCCTGATCAACAATACGAAGGTGCATTATCCAAGACCAAGATCAGGGATGGTGGTGACTATCACACTAGTTCTAGTTGTAGCGGGACAGGGCGGGTAACACTGACAGGTAAAGTATCAACTAACTCATGGGCTGTCAAAGATTTTAATGATACACTCAGCTCAATAGACAGAATCGTGGGGGTCATAGAGCCGAAAGAGACCATTTAGGCTGGAGCACTTGCTCAGCGAAGGAATCAAATTAAAGCATTCTAGACAGATAGTTGTCTAATTTCCACTTGAAGAGATCCAATGAACGGGAACCTACCACTTCTTTGGATAATTGGTTCCACTCTTGAATTGCTCTGGCTGTCAAGATTTTTTTTTCTCTCCAGCATTCAATAGGCATGTACTTCTAACTTGAATCTATTATTCTGTGTGTCATGCTCTTTGGAGCAAGGGAGAACACTTCTTTCTACGTGACATCCTTTCGGGTAGTTAAAGAATGTTAATAGAGCCTTTTCAATAATATTTTCTTAAAATTAAATACACCTTAAATATATGTAAAGTCTCTAATGCTAGGAAAGGTGGAAAGAAAGATAAGATGATGAAGACCAACAGCAGTAGAAGGACTTGCTGAAGCTCTCCTGATAGGAAGTTATACCAGAAAGTGCACACTAAAATAGGACCTTGGATTGCCACAAAAAAACCTAAAACGAAAAAGGTAAAGGTAAAGACTCCCCTTGCACATACGTGCTAGTCGTTCCTGACTCTAGGGGGCAGTACTCATCACCATTTCAAAGTCAAAAAATCAGCACTGTCCGAAGATGTCTCTGTGGTCATGTGGCCAGCATGACTAAACGCCAAAGGTGCACAGAACGCTGTTACCCTCCCACCAAAGATGGTCCCTATTTTTCTACTTGCATTTTTACGTCCTTTCAAACTGCTCGGTTAGCAGAAGGTGGGACAAGTAACAGGAGCTCACTCCATTACGTGGTGCTAGGGATTCGAACTGCTGAACTGCCAAGCTTCTGATCAACAAGCTCAGTATGTTAGCCACTAAGCCACCATGTCCCTTGAAAACATATACGTCTTTTAATTATTTAATACTAAAATANTGATGTAATTAATAATTAGTACAATATGATATTGGCTATGTAATAGTATACATGTGATTATATGTTATGAAAATGGAAAATAAAAAAGTTTTGCTCAAAAAAAAAACCTATGGACAGGAAGATTTGGAAATAGAAGAGGGTGCTGTTCCAAAAGGAAAGGGTGGCCTCATCAAAAATAAACAGTCAAGATTCATTTAATTCTTAAACATTCTGGAAGCAACTTGTGAAGATGAAAGAATAAGTTCTAAGACAGAAACAAAGAACTGCCTCCAAGATTTTTATCTTATGTTGATGAATCTGCATATTCATTAAATAAATCTACCTGTGCATTAAATTTATCACCATGATAAATATGAAATGCAACAGCAGAAGTGACTGCAGCTAGCAAATGTTGGCTCAGTGCCCTTAATGGAAAATAGGAGTCCCAGGCTTGGGAGGTGGTTTTGCTTTTTTAAAAAAAATTAAGCCAGCACATGCTATAAAATTAAGAGAAAGCAAGTTTCTGGCAAAACTATACTAGACTTCTCAAATGGTGGAAAAAGAGGAAGATGGATGGCAAAAAGATGTGCTCATTAATGTAAATTATAATGTGAAAAACGATCTTATGGCCCCAGATAAGTAATGGGAATATCTTGAATTCCAACAAAGGTAATACATGAACTGAAAGCAGATAGGATTGCATTATTATACAGCAGGGGTCCTCAAACTTTTTAAACAGGGGGCCAATTCATGGTCCCTCAGACTGTTGGGGGGGGGGTCAGACTGGCTAGGTGGGTGTGGCTAGGTGGCCATGTGATTGGGTGGGCGCGGCCAATTTAACAGCCCATTGAACAATGCACATAAATTAAACTTTAATTTGTTTTGCTCCGGGGGGGGTGTCTTTTATTTACTTTTGTTTGCATGTTGCTCTTTCGGTTGACTTTTCCTTTTACTAGATCATTTTTTCAGATGTTTAGGAGTCTAGTAGTCCACTTCAGGAAACTCAGTTTTGCACCAATTCTTCTCAGCCCCAAGGAACTTGAGAGATCTCTCTCTGTCTCTCTCTCTCACTTTTTCGTTNGAGGCTCTTCTCCAGGGAGCCAAAGGATTTGAGTTTCATCTTCAGGATCTGGCCTTCTAAAGAGCGGTCAGGGTTGATCTCCTCTAGGACTGACCAGTTTGATCACCTTGCAATCCAAAGGACTTGCAGGAGCCTTCTCCAGCACCACAGTTCAAAGGCCCCAACTTACTCTACATGAGGCTAATTGTGAAGACCACCCAGAAACTAGCGTAACATGCAGTGGGCTGGGTATTTATGGGCCTGTGTAAATTCATCTTTGGGACCCCACAAGTACCAGAGTTGCATTGGTTGTGTTATGCATTCTTGTATACCCAGGTCATTGAGCTACAAAACCCTAGAGAACCAACACAACCCCACCTGCTCTCTAGACAACATACCCACAAGGGTTCAAAAGCTAGTTCTTGCTGTTTTCTGTACTAGTGTTCCCCTATTCTACTGCAACTTCTGTTCCTCCATTACTTCTGAAGAACAGTACCTCTTCTGTTTGCCTTAAGCTGCTTGAGGCCCTTTAATTCCCCCAGATGAATACAAACCACCTTCCATGTTGTACCAACCCCAGGCCTCCACCATGACCACACTCAGCTCAGAAAGGGACAACTAGCCACAACCAACTCACCAGAGGCAACTTGCCATGGCCAATTCACTGCAGCCAACTCACCATGGGACAACTTGCTGCAGGACTATTCAACAATTCAATTTAATTGTTTAAAATAAATCAAAACTTTATTTGAATTTTTGTCCTCACATTTCATTCTGTCCCTCCTTTGGCATCCTTTCTTTCATGATTCTATTCCAGTGATGGTATTCTACCGGTTGGGACCAGTTTGCCCAAACCGGCAGTGGAAATCGCAGGCACTTTTTTTAGGCAAAGCGCATGTGTGAAAGGCGGAGCGCATGTGCAGACACGCGGATGCTTCCATTTGTGAACCGGTAGGGAAGGTAAGTGATTACCACCCCTGTTCTATTCCATTATTTCTTCAATATTGATGTAGCTCGAGTTGACCATGGTGAGCTGCCCTACAGTGAGTTTTCATAGACCCCACTCAGCTGGGTCTCTGATCAGGTTTTATAGCCACTAGCTTCTGGGCTGGCTGGGGAGAGCTCTTAAAGAGACAGGACATCAGTAGCCCAGGTGCTGGCCATTCTGCAGACAATCTGCCTTCTCATAGGCTGCCAGGCTACTTCCAGGTGCACTTTAAAGTATTGGTTGGCAGTTTTAAAGTCCTAATATATGTGGCTAGGTCATTTGGAGACCACCTGCTTCAGTTGGAGACTGTCCATCCACTAAGAGTTGGGAAGAAGGTTTATTAGATATCTTTTCTCCATGGGAATGAAGGAATCCGGCCTTTTCAAAGATAGCTGTCCTCCTGTGACTCAGTTAACACCCCCCCCCCAATATCCAGAGTATTTCATCCTTGTTGAGCCATGAAGACTCAACAGGAAAGCATTTATGGACTTATCTATCTCTGTTGGATGGCACAGTTGGGTATGGTTGCAATTTAGACGATGATGATTAATGCTATTGTTGCTTGATGAAAACTATTCTGAACCAATTGGAATTGAACATCTCTCATCAATAATTACCTTTACAGCCAATTCTGACCAGCAAACGCAAGAGAGGTAACAAGATGTCATAGTCTGGTACTGAGGTTCGTGCTGCGTTCACCAATGCCTGCAAAAGGGCTTCACTGCCCCCTTTGCTAATAGTGTACTGGACCCTCCTGTTTGTCCCTGGGGGAAAGGAAAAGACAGCCGTGAAGGTTATTCCAGATACTCAATGTGTTGATTCTAAGGAGCTCAGGTTTACTTTGCACACTGATATGTGGGACTTTTTTTTTCACACCCAGTGGAATGTGCCATCTGGTAGGAACGGTATTCAGCCTAAGAATTGTCTAACCTTCTTATCCTCCAAATGACTTTGACTTTGCTTTCCAAGCTACCACATTGGGTTAGCGCTCATTACCTGGGAATTCTAGAAACCCAAGAACTCCTGACATAGCAGGATGGGCAGAGCTGATAGATTCCAAAGGAGAAGGGACAGTGGTGTTCAGAAACTTTTCTTTTCTTTTCTGTTCTTTGTTCTGGTACCTTCAAGTCAGCTTTTGACTCCTAGTATCCCTGCTGTTTCCTTGATTTTTAGAAGTGGTTTGCCATTGCCTCTTTCCTAGGGGCAGAGGTGGGCTGCTGTGGGTTCGTAGGGGTTTGGGAGAGAAACTAACTAAGTTTGGAGAAGCCCCCAAATCCCATTCCTGACTGGCCCCGCCAGAGGTGGGTTCCTACCAGTTCGCAGCTATTCGGCAGAACCGGTTCGTCAAATCTACCGAACCAGTTACAAGAGGTTCCACCAGTGGACCTGGAAAGCAGGCCACACCTACAGAAGAGGTTCCNAGCTTAAAAATGATCAAAACAGGTGAAAAATAATTAAAAGATTAAAATGAGGCAACATTAAAAATATTATTAAAAACTGTACTAAAACCATGCCTACAACTACCAAGAAATGGATGAGACAGAAATGAGATTTTCTACCCCAACAGTCACCTTCAGCAGTGGATGCCTCCCCCCCCCCCAAGGCCCCAAGCCAAGAGGAAAAGCCAGGTTCTGATACCCTTCCCAAATGCCAAAAGGGAAGGGGCAGTTTTCACTTCTGCTGGAAGAATGTTTCATCGGATGGAGCCACAACCAAAAAGGCTCTTCTATGCTTATAAAACTTCTGAGAGATGCTGAAAAAGGCTGCTAAGGATTACGAGGATGCATGAATGCATCTATTTAAAAAAAGAAATAAACATGGGGATTTAAAAAAAAATAAACCTGAATCAAGCTCCCAAAGAAGTGAGCTGGGGTATTCCCCTTTATCATTTCCTGGATTATCTTGTTTCCCTGATGCTGTCGTCATGAGTGGCAAAGAGGGAATTACAGGAATATATGTTTTAAATTGATGGACACTAGATTCCAGCTTTCTTTCACAAAATAGGCAGTTCCATTCAAAACATCACAGTGGGTGAGCCTCTTTCTGGGTAATATACTACATAAGGACTGTATGAAACCCTACGATTATCATTCAAAGGCTCAGTAAGTAATTTTGTTGCTTTGTTTTGTCTATAATAAACTAACAGTTATACCCAGGGAACAGCGTACACAGTGGGTAGCTAACATCTCTTCACAATGTTTGGCATAGAGGCTTAGCTCTGGTTGTAGCAGTAGAGTACTAATCCATTAAAAACAGGTTCAGCAGCTATATCTGGAGGTCCCCCCTCCCCCCCAACTCATAATTCCTGTTTCAAAAGCATCTGGGGGCTACGGACTGAGAGACCTTTCAGCAGATCAATCAGGTGCAACAATTTTAGCCATTCTTGCATCGGAGATATTGTGCACAGCCATTCATGTCCTTGTCATCCCAAGGTTGGTCTGTTACAACTTACTCTTGTTGTTGTTAGTTGTGAAGTCGTGTCTGACCCATCATGACCCCATGGACAACGTTCCTCCAGGTCTTCCTGTCCTCTACCATCATCCAGAGTCCACTTAAGCTCATGCCTACTTCTTTGGTAACTCCATCCAGCCACCTCATTCTCTGTCCTCCCCTTCTTCTTTTGCCCTCCATCATTCCCAGCATGAGGCTCTTCTCCAGGGAGCCAAAGGATTTGAGTTTCATCTTCAGGATCTGGCCTTCTAAAGA